TTATTATCTAACTTGCTGTTTGTAGCACTCCAATATGGGAGGTTTAGGCCCACAGAATTCTACACCAATACATGTACTTTCTATTCATTTGGGATCAAGGAGAGGGGAGAGAGAGTACGCCTTTCCAATGTTTCTCCCACCAAATGCCCACAATGGCCAGGACTGGCTGGGCCAAAACCAGGGACCACAAACTCAAGCATGGTATTACAAATAGGTGGCAGGTGAAATCATTTACCACAAGAACTCTTTTTAAATCTTATCTTTCTCACCAGTTTAGAAATTAGGAATGTAGGGGCTGGCGCTGAGGTGCAGCAGGTTAATGCCCTGGCCTGAAGAGCCAGCATCCCATATGGGTGCCGGTTCAAGACCTGGCCACTCCACTTTTGATCCAGCTGTAGAAGATGGCCCAAGTCTTTGGGCCCCTGCACCCATGTGGGAGACCCAGAAGAATCTCCTGACTCCTGGCTTCAGATTGACACAGCTCCAACAATTGCAGCATAGGATGGAAGACTTCTCTCTCTCTGCCTCTCCTCTCTCTGTGTAACTCTGACTTTCAAATAAATAAATAAATCAATTTTTAAAAAAAGAAATTAGGAATGTGGCTGAAACTGTGGCATAGTACGTTAAGCATCCCTTACGGGCAAAGATTTGAGTCCTGGCTGCTCCATTTCCAATCCAGCTCCCTGAAGAAGTAAAAGGTCCAAGACCTCGGGCCCATGCCCCTATGTGGGAACCTAGAGGAAGCTCCAGGTTCCAGGATTCAGATTGGCCTGGCTCTGGCCATTGTGGCCATTTAGGGAGTGAACCAGCAGATGGAAGACCTCTCTCTCTGTCTCCCCCTCTCTTCTGTAGTTATATCTCTTAAATAAATAAATAAATAATTCAAAAAAGGAAATTATGAAGAAGCGTTGTTATTTCTGAGAAAGCGAGTTATAAAAATGAATTCTCTTAACCAAAAAGCAGGAGAAGATATCTTAGTGACAGCAACCAACAGAGGAATGCTGACCAATCCTGATTTGGCCTTAAACTTTTTAAAGTACCTGAAATGTCTTAAGTTTAAGTAGTAAGAGAAGTCCTATGCACAAAATACCACCAATGTTACAGAGTCTTTAGTTGAGGTTAATACACAAATAAATAACTCTATAAGTACAATGATGGCCTACTTATTGTGCTTTAAATAATGCAAACTTACACACAACTGGAAATATTAAAGAGCTCACAGAAATCAAAGTAGTACTAAAGAACTTACTGAGAACCTTAATATAACAGCACTTACATTAATGGGGCCATTATGAAATCTACCTGATTTAATCTATATAATTCATGCATGCATGCACAGTACCTATAATTCAGTAAGGTAAATGTTAACACTCACCAAAATATAATATCTGTTTTGGAAAGCTTCACAACTCAAGTTAGTCTCTCTCCAGACCATCAGTGTCTGACAAACACTAACCACTGACTAAATATCTGTTAAATGCAAGCATGTGATAGTTACTCTAGCACATTTCATGTTCTAGCAGAATGCCAACACAGGGTAAATGAGAAACAGCCACCCAAAGAAATGAGAACTGGAAAATGTCTTCTGGAGTCAAGACTTGTAATTACAGAAACAAAACTAGCAAAAGCCAACAGAGGCTCTGGATAAGCAATCCTATATTATTTCACTTAACAGGGCTACTCAGTATTCCAGTTCTTTTTTTAAAGATGTATTTATTTAAGAGGCAGAGTTAGAAACAGAGAGAGAGAAAGACAGAGAAACAGGTCTTCAATCTGCTTGCTCACTGTCCAAATGGCCACAAAGGCCAGAGCTAAGTGGATTTGAAGCCAGGAGCCAGAAGCTTCTTCTGTGTCTCCTATGTGGGTGCAGGGGCTATATAACTTGGGTCATCCTCCTGTGCTTTCTCAGACAGATTAGCAAGGATCTAGATCAGAAGTGGAGTAGCTGGGCCTCAAAGCTGCGCTCTTATGGGATGCTGGCTCTGAAGGCAGACTGGGCCCACTACATGACAGTTCTGGCCCCAGTATTTCAGTTCTTGACTCAGCAAGAAATTATTATCAAGTAGTATTAGGAAAGGAGGTTGAGAAATACTTTAGTTGAGCACCTTTTTCTCTTAAAATATTTTTGAAGGAAAATAGGCAGCATAGAAAGAAGTGCAGTGTACTGGAATAATGTAGTCTGAGAGGAATCCTTCTTCCACTGCTAAATGGCTTGTGTGCTTCACTCCACCACCACCAAATAAACCACATGCACTAACTCACTCCAAATTCAGCAGGTCCAAAATACACTGGATATTATAGCCACCCAAAGCTCCAATAAGTTGAGAAAAATGTGCTTCTGGCTACTGAATCCTACATAAATGCTGAAAAATAAGGCAATGACTTACTGATATCAACATCTTCCCATTAAAACAATAGGTAGAAAACCTCAAAAAAAAAAAATAGACTATTCCAAGCATTTAAAAATTAGATGGCATAAACTTTCTTCCATAAAGTTCACCCAAGATAAATAACTCTTTTTATTCTGAAATTGGCCCTCTAAGAAAGAGAAGAAAAATGTGACCTAAACATTTTTTCTAGGGTGGACCTATGGTGTAGTGGTTAATACATAGCTTGGATGCCTGAATCATGTATCAGTGTGCCTGGGTTCAAGTCCTGACTCAACTCCCAATCCCAGCTTGTAGCTATTGTAGACCCTGGTTGCAGCAGATGATGGAAGTGGTTAGGTCCCTGCCACCCATGCAGGAAACCCAGATTGAGTTCCCAACCTCTAGCTTCATCGACCTGGCCCAGCTCCAGCTGTTGCTGCAATTTGGGGACTGAATCGGTGGACGAGAGATCTCTGCATTGTCACACTTTCACATAAATGTATTTTAAAAAATTCTTCCATAACTCAGAAACCTATAGTACAACCAACTAAATTATTCAGATGTGAAATTACAACTTAACAGTCAGCCTGTGGTAAGGCTTATTTTATTGCTTTTCAATGAATACCTCCTAGGATGACTGCAGAGCTGCCCAGCAGGACCAAGCCCAAGATTCTGAGGATACTGATTCTGCCCAGGCCTCCCACCCAGTCACATCAGGTGATTTCTGGCTGCTGCACAACCACCACTACCAAACTGTGGTGACAATGACTTCAAAAATACTCTATATTGCAAGACATTCCAAAATGCTTGTGACTGTTTTACAGTAAAACATTCATCTTTGTATTTGAGGCAGCTCACTCTGAAACTGGTAAATGATGGAGCTCCTCTATAATAAATAGCTCCTCTATAATAAATTAGAGTGAAATGAGAATCATATGGTGAATATTTCTAGAAAGCTTCCAATTATGAAGAAAATGAAATAGTAGCTATTTTTCTCAAATTCTTGATTTTCAGAGAAAATGAGTACAATCCATTTTACCTTTTATATATTGAATTTAAAAAAAAAATTAGGGTCTGGCACTGTGGCATAGCAGGTAAAGCCACTGCCTGCAGTGCTGGCATCCCATATGGGCACCGATTTGAATCCCAGATGTTCCACTTTAGCTCTCTGCTATGTCCTGGGAAAGAAGCAGATGATGGCCCAAGTCCTTGGGCCCTGTACCTGCGTGGGACCTGGAAGAAGCGCCTGGCTCCTGGCTTCAGATCGGCACAGCTTGGGCCACTGTGACCAATTGGAGAGTGAACCAGTGGATGGAAGACTTTCTTTCTCTCTCTCTCTCTCTCCCTCCCTCCCTGCCTCTCCTTCTCTATATGTGTAACTCTTTCAATTAAATAAATAAATCTTTAAAAAAAGAATTTTCAATTGGGTGGTTTGATCAGGAAATGTTTAACTCATGTTTGAATGTAAGAGCACTCAAATCCTGGTAAAAGCATTTAGCCAACAAGCTGCACTTGATTTTCATGTCTGTAGCTTATAAAAACCCAGTTCATTCATTCAACAAATTTTAAGTGAGTCACTTCTATACATTAGACAACACTCTCCAAGCTAGAGATAGAGCAGTGAGCAAAGATCCCCATCATCATGAGATTAGAGACACAGAACAAACAGAAGACAGGGAAAATCATACTTAGACCATTTGTGATAGCTGCCCAGGGAAAACACCACACAGAGCAAGGGGAGCAGAGTGACTGTGTGTGTGTGCATGTGTGGGCTTGTGCAACTATGTGTTCTCTTCTGTTTAGCATAGTCAGGAAAGATCTCCCTAATAAGCAGAGACCTGGAAAAATGGGGCTCAGAACCATAAAGATTACAGGTGGACAAGTCACCACTTAGAAGGAACAGCAGGGTCAGAGGCCTGAAGGAGCTCAGCCTGTGAAGAAAGGCTGGGGAAGCAGCCAGCGACAGATCTGCACAAGCAAAGGAAGCATAGAAGGGGATGGGGTGGTGCAAATTACATCCAACCTCATAGAATGGCATGGACACCACTGGAGGTTCTGTAAGAGTGGCAGTCCATGCCTTAGAAAGAACCCAGAGCTATGTTGCTCCACTGTAAGCAGGAGTGCAGCAGAGAGGTCAGCTAGAAGGTACCACCACCACTCAGGCAAGAGGGTGGGGAAGAGCAGCACCCAGAGAGGCAGGAGGATCATAAGCAAAGTCTGAAGACAGAACTCACAGGGGGTGCAGGGTTTAAAGAAAGTCCAGAGGACACCACATTTTGGGCTAAAATACCCAGAAATATAGAATTGTTGCTGACTTAGATAGAAAATACTGCAAGAGCACATTGAGGTGAAATAGAAAAATGGATACTCCAGAAATGTTAGGCTTGAGATCTGTATGAGGTATTCAGTGGGAGGTGGTTCAGGCAGTGTCTGGAGAACACAGAGGAGGTTTAGAGGCTCTTTGTGCCTTGGTCCATCTGTCAGCAACATGCCCTACTCATTATTAGCCCATGTGATACATGCAGCCCAAGCAATTACCACCAATAATTATTATTCACCAACTAATTCAAAAGCAGCAGGCAATATGAGACAAAGAGGGAAAGGAGAAAAAGAAATAGACATGAAGCTTACCCAGATGTTTTGGGTCAGAGGGTGTAGTGACAACACCACCATTTTTCCCCAAGTGCAGCAATGGCTAGTTCTGAAGCCATCTGTACTTCAGTATTAACTTTCCCCTTGAAGGTACCAGCACCCTGTATGAAGTCCAAATAGTCTGTTAGTAAACACAGTGGCCAAAACCAAATTAATGGCACCAGGCTTCCTTTCTGTGTTTTCCCTTTAAAGTTCCTGTAATAAAAAATAATTTCTATTTTAAATATCTGTGCTTTAGAGGCCAGCATTGTGGTTCAATAGGTTCAATTTCTGCTTGTGATGCTAGGATCTCATAAGAGCATCCACTCAAGTCCTGGCAGCTCCATTTCTGATCCACCTCGCTGATAATGTACCTGGAAAAGCAGCAGAAGATGGTCCAAATTCTTGGGCCTGGGCTACCTACATGGGAAACTTGGACAGAGTTCCAGGATCAAGATTTGAGAATGGCCCAGTCCCAGATTTTGCATCCCTTTGGGGAAGGAACCAGAGGATGAAAGATATTTCTCTGTCTCTCTGTATCTCTCTAACTCTGCCTTTCAAATAAGTAAATCTTTAAAAATTAGTAAACAAATACAGAAATATCTCTGCCTTGAAATGCTATCATTGTTTTTACATTTGTTCAGGATACTCTATTCCACAAATCTTCAGTCCTTGGAAGTACAATGGACTACATTTCCATTCCATTTTATGTACTCAGTAGACACAGATTCTTGGTCCTTCAATAAAAGGAATGTTCAGGCTTCACAACAACCCTGTGACAGGATCACTGCTTTATCAGCTTCATAGACAGGAACACTGAAGCACAGATTAAGTACTTTGCAGGGGGTCACAAAGCTGGGATTCTACTCCAGCACTCAATTCACAACATTTGTGTGAACACATTTGTGTGTTCTTAAAACACATTGCACTGCATGATGTAAATGAGATGTATTCTTACTTATCCTGCATCAGTAAGAAAAGTTGGTAAGAAGAGGTTGATGAGGTAGAGAAGTAAGCTGGAACAGCAGGAACAGAATTTGAAACTGAACTTCAGAGGACAGAAAAAAAAAAACCAGAAGACAACAAATAATCATCTTGCATTCAATACTTTTATTAAAGTCTCAAAGCTGAAAATATTAGAAATGCCAGGAATGTCCTTATGTCAGTCATGTGGATCTTTGTGAAATTTCCTAAAACTTGGTGGGAAAAAGCCTGGAAGAACTACCCACATTTTCTCTCAAACACAACCAGTTATTTCAATATATTTTGTTGAAAAATTAATTTTAACTTATATGAAATGTCATATTACCTTCTAATATACCTGTTTCTCTCATGTGGGCATGGAGATTTTTTCCCCATCGAATTTAACTCTGTTCCAGAAGTAAATCCAAATATCTAGGGGTTTGCATTATTCTACTTTACATTATTTTAACTACAATACCTGAGAAGAGTTTCTTTGGAAAGAAAGGATTTGTTTCAGCTTATGGTTGGAGGCTACAGAATCTGGTGGCTCCATAGTACATCGTGGATAGACATTGCTCATGGATGTGGAGGCATCATCATATATTGTCAGGAAGGGGAGATACAACAGTTAGGCAGAGCCTGAACTCAAATGATCAAATCTCTCTTGAGAACTGCTATCTCTGTGTGCTGATATCACAGTTTCACACATAGAAAATTCTAAAGACTCTATCAAAAATATATTAGAACTTACAAACAAGTTCGGTAAGTTTTAGGATACAAAATCAGCACACAAAAGTCATTTCTATTTCTATACATTAAAAACAAACTGAAAAATAAAATAAGAAAATAATCCTATGATGGCCTTAATGCTGGTAACAATGTCACAGGTATATGCTTATCACCAACAGAGCAAGCTGTGAATACCTATTTTTATATTAATCATACCACAGTAAAGTGTTTTTTAAAAGTTTTGTGTAAGGTAAGGTCCAGAGCTGTGGCGGGCAAAGCTTCTGCCTGCAGTGCCAGCAACTCATATGGGCACTGCTTCAAGTCCTGGCTTCTCTAATTCTAATCCAGCTCTCTGCTATTGCCTGGGAAAGTAGTAGAAAATGCTCCAAGTTCTTAGGACCCTGCATCCATATGGGAGACCTGGAAGAAGCTCCTGGCTCTGGATTGGCACAACTCTGACCATTGCAGGCACCTGGGAAGTGAACCAGTGGATGGAAGTGCTCTCTCTCCCTGCTTCTGCCTCTCTGTAACTCTGCCTTTCAAATAAATAAATAAATTTTTTAAAAAATTTTTTGTGTATGTCTGTACATGCATATATACATATGTATACATATATTTTTAAAATATTTATTTGAAAAGCAGAATGGAAGAAAGAAGGAGATAGACAAAGAGATCTTCTATTCACTGTTTTACTTCCAAAATGGCTCAAATCAGTTCTGGTCAGAACAAAGCCAGGACACTGGAACTCTATCTGTGTCTCCTAGATAAGGGTCAGGGGCCCAAGCACTTGAGCCAACTGCTGCTGCCTTCCCAGGTGCATTAGCAGGAAGCTGGATTAGAGGCACACCAGCCTGCATCCTAACTGACTCACTGATATGGGATGCCAGTGCTGCAAGTGGCAGCTTAACCTGCTGTGCCATAATGCTGACTCCTAAGTATGTATTTTTGAAATCCCCTCTGTGGAATAAGAGTAATGGTGCAACAATGCCAGCATCCGTGTCAGTACTGTCAGTCAATTTCTTTTTTTAACTTTTCAACTGTTTTCTTTTTGTAGAAAACTTTTAATAAATATAAATTTCAAAAGTACAACTATTGGATTATAGCAGTTTTCCCCCCATAACCTCCCTCCCATCTGCAAACCATCCCATCCCCTACTCCCTCTCCCATCCCATTCTTCATTAAGATTCATTTTTAATTATCTTTATATACAGAAGATCAACTTAGTATATATACTAAGTAAAGATTTCAACAGACTGTACCCACACAGACACACAAAGTATAAAGTACTGTTTGAAGACTAGTTTTAGCATTAATTGGCATAGTACAACAAATTAAGGACAGAGATCCTACATAGGGAATAGGTGCACAGTGACTCCTATCATATTGTAGAATACTCACAAACACTATTTGGTTCCATTATATTGCTCCTGGGCTAAAGTCTCTAGATGTGTCTAGGTGTAGTTTCATAATCAAGCCCAGTGTGGTCAGTGGGTATAGTTACCAATGAAGGTAGTTAAGCTACACAACTGGCAGGCAACTCATTGCACAAATCCTCTGACTACAGTGCCAGCATCCCATATGGATGCTATTTCCAGTCCTGAAAGCTCCATTTCTGATCCAGCTCTTTGTTCCATCCTGGAAAAACATAAGAAGCTGGCCCAAGTGCTTGGGTCCCTGCACCTATGCGGGAGACATGAAAGAAGCTTCTGGCTCTGGCTTCAGATTGGCCCAGCTCCAGCTGTTGCAGCCATTAGGGGAGTGAACCAGTAGATGGAAGATCTATCTCTCTCTGCAACCATCTCTCTGTAATTCTACCTTCCAAATAAGTAAATAAATCTTTAAAAATTTACTTTTCTATTTTAAATGAATTATTTATCTGAATGGCAGAGAGAGAGAGAGATCTTCCATCTGCAGGTTCACTCCCCAGATGGCCACAAAGGCCATGGCTGAGCTTGGTTGAAGCCAGGAGCTTTAGCTTTTTCCGAGTATCCCACATGGGTGCAATACCTAAGCACTTGAGCCATCTCCCACTGCTGTCTAAGGCACATTATCAGGGAGCTGAATCAGAACTGTACAGCTGGGATTCAAATTGGCAATGATATGGGAAGTTGGCACCACAGATGGCTGCTTTACTTGCTACACCACAATGCTTGCCCCAAGATCTATTAAGAAGGGATCATTTCATTTACTCATTGAAATGCCAGTACTTGAAGTCTGGCATTTTTGTTTATTTTTAGATTAATCAGTGTTTAAATTATGTTTTATTACAAAAACACATTTTTAAATTAATTTTTGAAACTAATTACATTGTTATGTAAACCAAAACTTCTCATTAAGTTGTTTTTGAATGTTGGGTGAATTTAGTGGGAAGAAAAAGTAAATATCTTTACTTTTGTTTATAAAAACATAGTCTACCAGAGTGTTATAAACTCTAGAAATCACAGTAAATCTTTAAACTTGAGAGACAACATTTAAGTAGAGAAGCAATGCTCTAAGTAAAAGAAACAGAAACCTACAACTTGACTAGTTCAAGTCTCTATGAATTTATTCTTTTGTATGATCTAAAGTAACAGTTTTATAAATCTGTCAGCTTTCTTTAATCAGAATTTTTTAGTTTGTTCATTTCATCAGAAATCTGTATTTATAAATACTTGATAGAATCTTCTCTGTTTGTAAATGTTTTTAGCAAAGAAACAGCACTATTGATGGCAAAAAAAAAAAACTTAAAATCACCATAATTAAAATTTGAGTAACAATTTACTGGAAAACAAGGAGACATAGTTACATGTATTGTATATAGGATTTTGATAAAGACAGAAGTGTTTTTACAAACTCTTTTATGTTTTTTTAGGCCAGCATAATCTGGGTGTGAATTTTCTTTTGCAGAATTCTGATAGGTGACAGGCAAAATGCTCAAAAGCAAGAATACACAACAAACTAACAA